TTCCATGGATAACCACACACTGGTACAGGTCAGTTATATTTCCGTGTTTTAAAGAGATGTCTTGTTTGTGCTTCCTTTGGGCGTGTGCAACTTACCTGAAAATTCACTTCAGTAAAGGGTAGGTTAGGTTACGATTAGGGTGGTCAATCTTCAGGTGATCTGGTTGAGGCTATTATGACGTCATATTGGAGGCTATTGTGACGTCATATTGGAGGCTATTGTGACGTCATATTGGAGGCTATTGTGACGTCATATTGGAGGCTATTGTGACGTCATATTGGAGGCTATTGTGACGTCATGATGGAGGCTACCTGTCAACAGTCGGGTTGTTTGTCCATGGTGTTGGTTGTTGCGGCGGCCGATCAATAAGGTAAGCTGTGGAGGTTGCCAGTATAAGAACACCTACCCAGGTATACTAAAATGGGATCACGTGAAGTTTAGACAACCCAGTTTATTTCATCTGATTATACACCCTAACCAAACCTAACCTAACCCTTAAGTAGTACAGTATTCGGGTGTGTAATTATCAGATGAAATAAGCTGGGGACGGGGGCTAATCTTCAGGGTGATTCCCAAAATGAGTTTGACCTTTAACATGGTGACCCCAAAATCAATAGGTTACTTCTCGTGACAGGCCTGGCACTCGACATTATTAGGGACCTGCCACCTGGCATAAACAGATAAATTGTACCGGGAATTTCCCCCCTACACACTCATCATTCTGTCACTTTATGCAACTTGCTGACCAAACCCATGACCTTTCAGGCTTTTACGCCCTTAATGCATGAGTCATGTAAGGGGGTGCCCAATAAACTAGCCTCCGTGCGGGGCAAATTCTATTTCTCCAGGAGTAATGTGTCATAGTTAGGTTATGCTGTTATTACTTGACATGGACAAACATATGTCTCTGTACCATAATAATGAGTGTACTGTTCAGAATGTTGATGTTATTATTAGTATTATTATGCTTTTATTGTTATTACTATTGTTATATCATGTTATCATTAATGTTATTATTATTATTATTATTATTATTATTATTATTATTATTATTATTATTATTATTATTATCATCATCATCGGTGCATCAAACTTAATTTGAGTCAGGACCAACTCGTCTAACAATACACAACAACATTAACGGTACTGTATAACTTTACAACAACAATATTGTTTTAGTAACTTACAACACCCATCGACCATACCTATTGTGTTGTGGATAGAATCTAGCCTAACCTAATCTAACCAAACCTATGCTATTCTAACCTAACCCATAATTGTATCCATACCTATCTGTACCTGTATTCTTATAAGTATTTCCGAGTGATCCTGTATCTTGCTGTATAGGTTCTGAAGTACTGAAACTAAAAAAGTATGCTGTATTCCTTTCAGATCGGGGGGACGTTGGTTACATATCTGGTAATACTGCTTCAGGTGGGTAGTGTCTCAATGACCTCACCCAGCTCTGAAACCATCACCACACAGGAGCCTGAATGATGCTACAGACTCCCCATTCAACCATACACAGCCACCCAACCATACATAACCAAATCTGAACCTTACAAGTGGTATCACATGTAGTGAGGGGATGTCAATTTGTCTGTATACTCTGATGTTAATGTAAACTATACTGTCATAATGTATACTAAAATGAGTGTGTTATGTGTATACTGATGTAGATTCAGCTGCATTAATGTAGTATCATAATGTATCAATGTTAAGTATGATAAAGTTTATTGAATTAGTGTGTAGAATAGTTTATAGTATCTATGTTTTTGTGTTTATTGATGTTTAATGAATGTGTGTTTTACTAGTCTGTTGAAAGTGTTTTATCAGTGGAGTTAGCTAGCTATCAGGCGAACTACTGTATGGCTCATTAACTGGTCATTTGAGAAGTTAAGTGACTGTAATGCACATCTAGTGTTTTATCTTATCAACAAATAATACTGCCTCTTCATATGTGACAATTTCATGTTTGTAATATTAATATGAAAATCAATAATAAATAATGATGAAAACGATTGACTGTATATCTTGATAAATAAATAAATAAATTAATATCAGTAACTCACACATCTTTCAAAGGGAATTACACCATGCCAAATAATATTAGGCTAGGTTATAGGTTAGGTTAGGTTTTGGGGTACATGATATAATTTAAGTATTGTATTTAAATGTATATAAAAATGAGATCACCTGAAGAATCCTCATCCTAGCTCATTTCACCTTAAGATTAACCACCCTAACACTATCTGGGGAAAGGATGAGGCTAGGTGTAAGGTTAGGTTAATCTTTAAGTGAAATAAGCTGGGGTGGGAGAAGCTTGAGGTGATCCACACATTATACACGACCTTACAGATGATCTTATACATTCCTTATGGTTTATTGACCTTTCTTCTGGACGCTACAAGACATGGGAAATCTAACAAGACATTTCAATTGCTTATATCTTCTTTCAATTTGTATATCTGACTAATTTATCTCTATAATATAAATTAAACATTGAATGTAATTGATATAATCTGCCAAAGCTCAGTCTCATATCCCGTGAAGTTGCTAAGTCTTAATCTATAACTAAATCCTTAAGTATGGTGGAGGTGGTGGTGGTAATGACTGATCCTCTCCTTGTACGAGTGCCGGAAAGTGTGGTACAATATTTAAGTCATCCCTCATCTATGTCCGTTTTCTCTTTTCTCCTCTTTACCATACTTGTATTTTATCCGATCATTGTCTTAAAACAAAATTGTTGAGGGCAATTTAGTTCCAATTTACAGGTTTGGTTTAACAGGTAACTTAGCTATTCTATACAGTGAGCGATGCAGACCCGAATGTAGTTTTATTTATGGTCTTACTCTTATTTAAACATCTTGTAGGTAGTGGGTGGTAGGCAGCTACCAAACAGGGAGGTACTACCGCCTGGGAAGATATTGGAAGCATAATGTGTTGTCTAATGGTAGACCCTGCTGCCATATGTGACCAAGTCCCAGGTTGCTGATCTGACTTTCTGCTTCATTTACACACAATTGCAGGGTCTCAATTGTTTCTCTTACCATTGACAACACAACTTACATACAGTATATCGTTTCTCACTTTTGATCTTTTTTTTTCATTTTTGTATTTATAGTTCTTTATTATTAATATTATTATTATTACAGTTACTGTATTATTATCATTATTTTATTATTTAATTTTTGTTTGTGTTATAAATTTTATTTATTATAAATTATTATGAGTATTATTATTATTATTATTATTATTATTATTATTATTATTATTATTATTATTATTATTATTATTATTATTATTATTATTATTAATTATTATTATTATTATTATTATTATTATTATTATTATTATTATTATTATTATTATTATTATTATTATTATTATTATTATTATTATTATTATTATTGTTATTGTTATTGTTATTGTTATTATTATTGTTATTGTTATTGTTATTGTTATTGTTATTATTATTATTATTATTATTATTATTATTATTATTATTATTATTATTATTATTATTATTATTATCCCCCAGGCCCCGATGTGGGTCAGTGACCTGTGTCCGGGTGGGCTAATCCCCATAAAAAAGGAAAAAAAGATGGAAGTATCAGGCATCAGATTGTGTTAGGCTATGCGTTTTCTGTCTCGTAGGGAATAACAATATAGTTCTCTCCCGTACGAGGTTAAGTGGAACATTTATGTTCTATTTTCGCGTCATAAGAAGATTAGTAACCCTAGTTTATTTCACCTGATGATTTAATACCCTAACGCTTACCTGGGGGAGGTTAGGTTAGGTTGTTAGATTATGTAAGATTAAGTTAGGTTAGGAAGTTTAATCATCTGGTGAAATTAGCTTGGTGTGCTAAATTTCATATAACCTTCATTTTCTATCTCTCAGGACAGACTAGGCTATTTCGCGGAGCATGTTGGAGCAGAGGCTGAGAGCGAACCATACCCTCACCCAAACTGCTCACTTATTTCGCATCCCTGACTTAGAGGCCGTTGGCAGAATAGTGAGAGGAGGTCCTGTAGGAAAAAGTGACCCCAGCGGCTAGAGAGGAGACGTAGAAGTTGTAGCTCAGAATCTTTGTGGATAGATCACAAGCTAACCTGTGTGGATAGAACTTAACCTAACTGGATAGAACGTAACGTAACCAAACCTAACCTAAACTAAACTTAACCTAACTGTGGATAGAACCTAGACTCACCTAGCCTAACCTAACGTAACCTAACGTAACCTAACTGGACAGAACCTAACCTAACTTAACCTAACCTAACTGGATAGAACCTAACCTAACTGGATATAACCTAACTTAACTGGATAGACCCTTAATATTGGCTACCCTAACCTGCACTTGGTGACCAGGAACTAACAATATGGTTTCTAGAAAAAAAATAATGAAACAATATGATTTCTGAAACAATTAGCCAGAGTAACTACAAGAATTCAAGTTTTTGACGCCATAACCTGAAGAATCATTGTTATAAATAATGTTAGTGAGATTTTCAACTGATTGTAATACTTAAAAAAAAGCGAAGATAAAAGTCAATGATTTTAGTTTTCGGGGCTTTAACTCCCAGGGTTTGATTAGGTTAGGTTAGAACCGTTCACTAAACCTCCGCTGGTTAAATACCCTTTATTTATTGTGAAACTATTTATTGCTCAATCGTAGTATTTGACCTTGTTTGTCTGTATGTGTATATGTGAATCTCTATGTGTATGTGGGCGTATGGTTATTTTTTATATACTGTATGTGCGTAGCATGTGTGGGTCCATCTGTGCCGTTTGGATTCATGTTTGCGTGTTTTTGTAGATATTTTTTTATTATATTTCTCTGTGTTTCTTTGTAGCTTCTGTAGGTTTGTATGTGAAAGTATGAGAGACGGGTGAAAGAAGCTGAAAGAAAATAAAAGTATTTGGCAAGTGGCTCTGTATTGGACCACCACCGCGAGACGTGACTGAGCAGAGGCGTCAGCAGTCAGTGTCACTTGTGAGCTGGTGAGGGGAAGGTGTGCGTTCCGTTCCATTGCGCGGTTTGTGTGTGAAAACTTATTTACATTAGTGTCTGTGAAAACCAGGGTAAATCTTTGTGATAAAACAACACTCTAAATGACACTATAAGTATTCTCTCTAAAGAAAATGAGAGAAAAAAGGACTTAATTTGTGAAAACGTGATGACACTTGTTGCTGTGAAAATTGGAACTACTTTTGTTCTTCATAATTCGACGATTTAAAAGCTGTAGTAAGTAATTTCTACCATGATATATATATAAACAAAATTGAGGTTGGATATTGGAGAAAATGTCATAATATTCAAATGTGTTTATATTTGAGTCACTGAAACCTTGGAAAAAACACCTAAACGAGGCAACAATCAGAGTGCCCTTTAACTGCTTGTTTAAACATTCTCGCCCACTGAAACTCACGCTGGATTTAAACTTTGCCATATATTATTTATCTTGTTATGGAAATTGATTTAATTGGGGAATTTTGAAAGGTAGGTTAGGTTAATATTTAGGTGAAATAAGCTAGGGTGGAGATTTGTGTTGTTGTTAAAGAGTTGTAGCTTTTAATAATTCTGTCCTATCGTAAATATTATTAACGTATCACATGAAAATTAACACCCTTTATTTCACTTGATTAAATACCCCAACGCAAAGCTAACCTACCTACCCTCCCTATAGCAGCGTCAGGGTATTTAATCAGCAGGTGATATACGTTGGGGGTTTAATCTTCATGTGATCTAGAAGTCTATTAGTACAGTACACATAACTCCGGTAACTCAAATCTTGAAAAAAATGCTCTTATTCTACAAGCTACGAACAAAATATAGAAACTCGACAAGGAAATGTAAGTACAATATTGCGTTTAACTTGTTTTCCACGAGTTAAAAGTTGAAACTCTTAAGTCACCTCACGTCTGTGTACTAAAGGAGCAAGACATAACAAGTGACAATGGCCAGGTGTTAATTACCATTCAGTACCTGTGTGTGTGTGTGTTATTACAAGGCCTTGACTGTTGGCTTGTTGCGACACACACACACATACACACACAGATATATATATATATATGAATGGCCTCACCTGAAGATTAGGCCCCCAGATTGTTTACCTAACCTAACTAACCCCCCCCCCCCTGGTAGCGTTCGGGTGTTTAATCATCACTTGGAATAAATTGGGTGCCTAATCGATAATCATGGCTGTATAGTATCTGGAACTAGATATTCATTATTCAAGGGATTGAGGTTACGTGGCATTAGATTGGATAATTAAGGTTGAGTTAGGCTTGGGTTTGGCCAGGTAAAGAAAGGTTTCAGTTATGTTGGATATGGTGTAGGCAAGGTTAGGTTAGTTTAAATTTGTCTCGCATATATTAGTAATAAAATACCAGGAGTCTTAGAAGGTTACCCACTCCCCTTCCCAGTAACACCTCCGTCCCTGAGTCATGACTGGCGATACGAGATCTAATCAAATATTTACACATTCCGTCATGATTATATCCCTCTATTTCAGCGTCAAGTTACTGAAGATGTCTAGTTATATTGTAGTGAACATAGTCAGTCAGACCTCGGCTGTGTATCCCACCAAACAATATCATGACTGGATCGTATACTTAAGATTTAATGATGAAATTGTAACCTGTAGTTTTTTAATACTGTCTAGACTTTAAAAGAATATGGTCTGCTAATATTACCTAGAGTGAATTCTTGGAAGTACATTTATTGTTTATCTGTATGTCCATTAACAACTTGGTGCTCATGATAGTAATATTTTGCCTTGATCACATGTATACAATGCAATATACATAAATATGTTTTATCATACTGTATAAAACTTACGTGTCAGCTTGGTCAGGTTCGTATTCACTGACGCAGATCTGTCGCATAGTACTTTAAACAAGTAGAATTTAGTGGCTACATTTGGGTAATTAGTCGGACCGGAATTTAGTTGTTTGATGCACCACATACAGTAGACGCTGAATGTTATCTCCCAGGTTTTATCTTAGGGGTTAGACATAGGACAACGATAGGCTACGAATATTCCCGTGAGAGAGAGAAAACGGGGGTCTACCATATGGTAATGTTCCGATGGTGACGGCGTGTTTGTCCAGGTACACTTAATGGTTTGTGAAGCTGATGTTGTATGTTGTTGTTTATTCCATAAGTAGGCCACATATTTCGTAATATATATATATATATATATATATATATATATATATATATATATATATATATATATATATATATATATATATATATATATATATGATAATGTTATGATATTAAAAGAAATAATACAGATTTCATATCCAACTTCTTAAAAACCGTGATATGATAAAGGTTGAAAATAATTTAACTTCATTTTACCAATGCATATCATATGTACCATAAAAATTTACCTTACCTGAGTTAATCTAAGCAAATCCGACCATCAGTTGATAAAACCAAGGCTAACACAGCGTGATTTAAATATCTTTATGAAGAAGATCAGTAGAGTAATTTTAAGTCAAGATTAGTACTGCAGATGATATGAGGGCATTATCAGGCAGGGTGTACATTCAGGATATTATACTTGTGGGATAGAATATTGATCAACACTGACGACTCTGAGGTAGGCTTCGGAACGTAACAATATACTGATAGAATCGTCGTCATTTTTGTGTACTAAAGTATAGAATTTTGGGTATCAGATTGGTAGAGGCTAGGTTATCCATAGTTAACTGTTGGTAGCATGGGTCAAGTACTTCGATCATGCCATGTATCTCACGTCGGTTGAGGGCTGAAATTACTATTATCTGATATCATTTCATGTGTTAGGGTTGCTGTATAAATGTGTAAGTTTCATGAAATATTAAAACAAATATATACAAGGTAATTCAATATAGAAGGAAGTGGTCACTTTAGGTTAGCTTTATAGTTAAGCTTGGTTTATTTAGCTTTGTCTAGTTCAGAATGAGCCGCTTATATAATAATTACATTCGTATAAATTAAATCACAGGCCATGAAATCACGTCAGTATTTTATTAAGATAAGAAATGGGAATTGATGATTTATTAATGATTAGACTAAGTGCAGCAGCTTGAAATTTAGGCTGAAACGTGATATCGTATTTGATTCTTGGATTATATTAGAAAGAGCGAGAAAATAAAATTCGTATATACTGTAGTTATGTTTAGAAAATGATATATTTACAATCCTCTATGTAGTTAAGCATTTTCTGCACACACATTCAGTATTCTCCGTGTTGACTGGGAGTTTCCTCAGGCTTGCAGGCACAATTGTAAAGGGAGCATCATTACCGTCCATTGTGCGTTCTTTACAATTCCACCTGCAAGATAATGTCAAAGCGAACATGACGAATACAGTTATGAGCAGATAATGTTGGAACACATGTAGCTTCCTCGAGGACTAACCTACAAACATTAAGATAATTTTAAACGTAAATATTAAGGCACTATGTAAATAACCTGTACTCGGATTTGTATATTTTCTTCTCGTCTGGTTTCTCTTTATTTCCTATCTTTATTGTGTATCTTTAGCGTCGTGAAGATGTCATTCTAGATATGAATTGTCGGTGTGTACAGGCGTCGACACACGTTCTGTCTCCAAGTTTGTTATCAGTTTCAAGTGCTGGATTGCTGATAAGGTGACAGGCACCCCTGCGAATGAATAGAAATTTACCAGCGATATTAACCACATTGGCAGGGACGTATATACGTTAGTTTCTGGGCGCGCCATTGACAAAACCATTAATGACGACGCAAACCCAAACAAACAAACCTAACTAACCTAATGTTTGTACAGTATTTTTCTTATTTTACTTAGGTTAGGTTAGTGTTTAACTTTAATGACTTTGTGTGATTCGCCCGGATATTAAATATTTTCGCTACATTTGAGCATTATCATTTTAATTTCACTAGACTCGAAATGCGTCAAAATTTTTGTGATATCGAGAGTCACTTAGAGGGAGGACAGTACATGCAGTCTTATTGGCTTAAACTTAAAATAGCATAACTGTCGAGGCAATTACACACGGGAACACGATTTAGCTTTTTGGAAGTTCCCTGTAATGGGCGTGTAACTGGGAACACATGTGCGAGCTGTGAAATTTTAAGAGCGCTCACGGACGCATTAGGCTGGTGGGTGTGGAGGAGGCGGTGTCTGGTGACGAGGGTCTGGTGGACTGTACTAATTCTGGAGGCTTTTCTTCAGCGAGGGTTTGTTCCCTTGTGTATCTTGAATAGTGAAGGTAGTTTGAACATCTTGCTCATAAGGTTTGGGTTAATTTTGAATATAATTTAGGTACTGGCGTTTACTTACAGGAAACGCATCGTACCGGGGAACTCAATAAGGAATTTTCGAGTACTAAATATTCCCCATAAATCTGTATATGAAATAGCTTCTAACTGGCTGACTTACGTAAAAATACAAGAATAATATTCAAAATGGCATCAAGATTACACTGAGACTCGAATATTACTAGATACGTTCATTTAGCATCAGTTACGGAACGAGAAGAAATAAAGCATTTGAGTTCCGATCCCATGTATTAATTTTGTCATAGGCTACAGACAAGTAACAACAAGGATATTTGTACAGAAGGAACAGTAACGTAGACAAAAAGTAATTAAGACAGTGACATTCAGTAAAATATAGACAGGTAGCAGAGGTTGTTATACCGCATAGCAAGGCAGGTAATTGGGGAAGTATAATATATAGAGGTAGGAGCTTCACAGACTGTATTATATAGCTAGGTAATACAGGAAGAACAAATGATATAGCAGTAACGTACAATGGTGGAACAGATAACACGTTGGTAGGGGATAGAGACGAAGCATAATTGAATACAGGAAATAAGTGAAAGATAATGTGCAGAGAGAAACTGGTGTAACAAGTAGCCTGGCTGGTGAATGTGACATAGCCCGGACAGGCAGTAGGCAATTTAGACAGGCGGCTAGAGAGCGCCCGTCAGCCGGGCTATGATTGGTTTGAGTCTATCCGTCATATACTGTATTTCAATAGCTCTTAAATTTATGATCCTACGATAAGTTAGGTTAGGTTGGTTATGGTAGGTCGACTTAAAATCATGACGTCACTCGTTCACTGCAGTCATAGTCTGAGTTACAGGACAAACTTCAACTAACTTAGTATTGTCTAACTTGCCATAACCTAACGTAACTTAATCCAATATTAACTAACCTGAACATAAAGCATTGTTTAATGTTAGTAATATTAAATAACTTTACATTTAAATAAACAACAACACTCATACCACGACCAACTACATCCTGCCATCTACCACAACTCGTTGGTAACCATCATACCACTACCTCTCCATGGCTATCACTACCAACAACTTCATTCCCACACCTCAAACCACAGTCTTCTACCACCCATAGCCTTCAAGCCACCCTCTACCACAACCCACTACCCCTCTCTTTACTACTACATCTACCAGACCACTTTCACTCTGCCCAGATCATGTTGTAGACCGTGACTAGACCAGGCCTGACAGTGGTAGGGGACCTACTAGCCAATCCCATATAGCCCAGTCAGCTCAGACCGCAACGCCCCAATGGGTCGAATTACGAGACTGCGTACTGTTAGGGTCGACTGTTTGTTTGTTGGGTTGTTTGTGCCATATAGCGTTTGTCGTTTTGTAGTTCCTTGTATGTTTTGTCAGTAAGAAAGGTAGACGCTGTAGTCTTTGTTTTGAGGTAAGATTAAATAATTTCTGATTGAATTTACTTGTAGAAATGCGGACACGAACTTGGTCTTGTATGAAACATATTGAAATCGAACGCTGCCAAGAACTTTATATTGTATAATGATAAAACTACATTGTGGGAGTAAGACTTAAGTTGCCTTAACACTGTCGGGTCTCTGGTCTTCTTTACAGTAATACGAGACACACACACACTGGGTAATAGTATAGACTGTACAGGAACAACATGACAGCAACAGAATACAAGTTTTATGACTGTTTTCCCTAGGGATTAATTTGTTTATTCGTATTTTTTATTGAAATTGTCGTAACATTAAGTAAACATTTTAATTAAACGTGAAAATTGCGCTTAAAGTGTATTGTTTGCGTTGGTGACTTCTGTGGTTTAGATAAAAGGTTTTTGATGTGAAATGTTGTGACGGCTGCCTTAACGAAATAAAAGGGACAGTGTGAAAACTTCTGAAATAAACTGCTCTTTAACTGTATTTTACTTAAGTGACTCAAGTGAAGACATTCCTCACATGATTTTTTTTTTAAATTGTTCTCGTTGTTGAAAAAAAAAATAGTTATTTACTGTATTCGTGATATTTAATTGGAGTTGTTTTTGTGCTTTCAGGGTTGAACATGTAGATAATAGTGCTGAATGGTTTGGGGAAAAAAAGACATAGATAACTCGTGGATAAAGATCATAAGTCACTGGATTCTACCACACCCAGAGGACGCCCACGGTCTCCTGAAGCGGATTCTCTGTTGACAGGTAACAACTCTCCGTTTAACCCAATTATCTTGATCTAAGGCCGTTTGTATTTTTGTATAATTGTTTTCTGTTGTACTTAGATATTTGAAGTTTGTCTAGCCTATAATGTGAGAGGCTTAGTGCTTGGAAGGTGTTGAGGGGGAACAGTTTTACCCCGGCACAGATGGACTCCGGGGTGAGGAAGCCTTATCTGCTTAGTGTTAATATGTCATGAGTGGCGGTGGAGGCTACGACACGGGTTTCGTTTTGGGGGGGATTATTGTTATCAGATAATACGTGGTTTTATTGGGGAAGTCTCTGAGTAGGAGATACGCTAAACCTATCCTTACAGTACAGTATGTTGGTGGGGGGGTAAATGAACTACAGTATGTTGGTGTAGGATAAATGAACTACAGTATGTTGGTGTAGGATAAATGAATTACAGTATTCTGATAACTTATCTTGGGTTTAAAATAGAGAAGCATATTTTTGGGTGGGTTTTTATTTCAGAGCTGACTTGGGTTTGGAAGTACTGTACAGTACGTTATGTGGGATTGTGGTGTCGACAGTGACTGTATTCTCCATGTGGTTAACATAAAGAATTACTTAGTTTATTATCGCGAGTCATATTATATTTTTAGAATTATTATTACACTGTTTTATTACTATTATACTCTCCGTTTAAATGACAATACTGCTACTGCTACTAATATATACTACTACTACTACTACCACTACTACTACCACTACTGCTTTTTTTTTAAACAAACGTGGCCTCCAGCCTCCCCCAATAGCCACACCTTCGCCACCATTTAATTACCTTAATATTAAATATCCTAATACATAAGTAGCTATCCTATCTGTGTTAAATTAGTTGAGCCGCAGATCTATGCGGCATTCAGTGACAGTAGCCTCATAGTCGATATCTGCAGCTGTTGTCGGAATTGGGGCAGAAACTCTCGTTCCCCTGAGGCAGAGCAAAGCCGACCGAAGGAGAGAGAAAGACAGTCTACATCTCATCCAGGCTGTAACATAACTTCTGGGCTGCTGCTTGTGTTCGGAGATCTCCTCCGCAAGTCTGGCGTAGAAACATCTTGCACTTGGTCCCATCCCGCTAGAGGTTGTGAACACCAGAGGAGTGAAGCTGCCTTGATCAACGTTTTGAATTCTCTCCCCATATGCCCTTATCTTGTCGTTCTCATTCCTCCTATGTGCAGCATCGAGAGCTAGGTTACGGTGACATGCGGCCATGGGATAAAAAATCCTGATGTCGAAGAAAGCTCGCTGTCCCCGCGTCCAGAATCCTCGAGCACTGACGTCAACACGGGCTTCGTTAGATGTGTTTGAAGTCCTGTGTTGGAAGATCTCACCATCCAATGGAAGGAGGGTCGGTTCTACCCTGACATCACGACAGATTTCCTTCAACATATTTGCTGTAAGGTCCCTTACTTCGTCATACCTCATGCATATGAAGCCCCCTTTCTTGCACTCCATGGCGTGATCGCCGTCATAGGAAGAGCCACACACGCATTGGGAGGGCAAACCTTCTACTGGCCGACCGTACCTTAGAGCAATGGCATCTGTAAATTCTTGTTTGTTAAGACTGAAACCATTTGCCCTTATTGGTAACGGAGTTAGCCAGTTCGAGGCGCCCACCTCCTGCACTATAGCTACTTTTTTCTTCAAATTTTCTGGAACCTGCAGCAACAGTTGCTGCAACTTATCATTTTGGCAGTGCTGTCGATCTGTCGTAATGGACCTACGAATCTCGTTTACTTCACTGGTATCGACCTCCCCTGTTGCGTTCTGGGCTATTATGTGGTCCGTGAGGGCTGCCGTGAGCTTAAGTGAATTTTGATGTTCAGTGGCTGCTATCTCCTCTGGATTGGTTAGTCCCATCCCTCCCAGTCTTGATGGAAGTGCAAGAAGTGCTCTTTCTGCTGGGGTTAAGTGAGTGTGTTTCACTAATTTGGGAATGAACTTGACACTGATAGCTTCTTCCAGAGGGTGGAGGAGGTGTCCGATATCAGGGATAGTACGCATCAGGTAGTTCAACTACTACTAGAACTTATAACAGGAAAATAATACCTTAGTAATGGTGATAATAATGGCAATAATATACAGTAAGTAATGATAACAGTACTACGTCTAATACTTATTATAATATGGCTTAAGCTTAATTACTTACAGTTTGGAGTATTATGGTAATGATTCCCATAGTCTACCCACACACCTGTCTAAGAGTGTGTGTCTGTGTGACTCTCTTTCCGGGCGTCATTAAGTCTACTGGTAAGGACCATCCATCCATCCTCTGACCCAGCGACCCAAGATAAAGAGATAACCCAGATAATACTAATGGTCACTATCACCCTACACCACTACCACCACTACCACCACTACCACCACTATCACCCTACACCACCACCACTATCACCCTACACCACCCCCACCACTACATTTCTTTGTCAGTCTCTCGTTACTTCCACCCATCTCTCTCTCTCCTTCCCTCCCCTTCCCCCTTCCTTCTTCCCTCCACCCCCATACCCCACAATTTCTATCCCTCCCTCCTTCACCTACTCTATATCTCCTTCCTTCTCTCCCTCTCTCTCTCACCCTTCCCATTTCCCCCTGTAGACAGATCTTCACCCAATCACTAATCTGGCCATATCAGGAAGGTACAGGAGCTATTGACGCCTACCTTCTGGGATAAACAATGTAGTTAACCTTTGACCTACTGGAGACTGTAAACAAGTGAGCATCTGTTGGTTTTGTCTTAAGTAAAAAAAAATATCTTACGGTTTTTGTATTTTTTTTCTCGTGGTTTATTTTTATTTTTTTCTCATTTCCTCATTTTTTTGGGCGTTAATTCCTGTTTTTTTTTTCATCTCTTTACTGTATATTCCTGTTTTTTTCTCGTACCTGTCCAACACCTGTGCAACACCTGCCATACCTTATATACTCACCTGTGAATCCCATTGGTGTGTTTTTACTTGTGGCCAGTGTTCGTGTGGTCACTGGTTGGCTATATATGTACATAACTAATGGCCTCTACAGTGATTTAATTAACGTGGGCAGGTGTGTAGTTTCAGGTGTGTTAGGCTAGGTTAATCGCTCTCGTGTCTAGGTTGGAATTGCGTCTCTATTTGTCTTGGTGTATATACTGTAGGTGTGGTAGGTGATATTTGGGGAGCCTTTTAAGGAGCTAGTTTTTAAGGGAATTGGAGGTGCTAGTTCTAAGACATTTAAGCTGGTATTTTGACTCTATTTACGGTGCTAGTTTGTTGATATTTAAGTTGCTAGTTCTAATAAATGTATGCTGCTCTTTGGAAACCTAAACTTAACCTAACCAAGCCAAACTTAACCTAACGTAACCTAAGGCAGGCCGGGTCGGGTATCATGGCCACCTCCCACCCAATTACATTAAGGCCCCTACACGGCCCTACGTATCTCTTACGACCACACGTAGAGGCGTGGACACAAGAGGCCAGACCATACTAGGCTGGAGGCTGAGGTACTGATCATGAGGCTTAACTAGAAACATTGTCTAGCATTTAATTGCCTCACTTAACCAACAGTATAAAAATGTCGACTAAATTGGCATGAAAAAAAAAATTATTCTACACGACAGGAAACAGATTTATTCTTCTGACTCACAAGGGAAAAAATTACGTAAAGATTTGATAATAAGAGCGTCGGGTATGGAGGAGGGAGGGGGCGGAGGTCGCTTAAACTCCAATTAGTGTCGGGAGGCGCGGGATTCATCAGAGAAAACGAGATTTGCAGCGCCAGCGGGGACTTGTGTAAACCTCGCCTGGTGATAGTTGAAGGGTGTTTTTGTGTTGTGTGTTTTGAGAGATCGTCAGTTAACGCCCAATACAGTCTGAGAGGAGATTGAGTTTTTCTTTTCCCCCTCTAGTGACTGGTTAATCGTGGTGTGATTAGGATGTTGATTGAACGTTTGATCAGCCAATATACCTAAAGCACACAATCCACGCACGCACATACACGCACACACGCTATTACAAGTCAAAAGGTGGCGAATATTTAGGTGGGTGAGGCTGGGGGGGGAGGCGAACCTGATACATCTACAGGTGATTTAAAACGTTTCTGTGGGTTTTAATTTTATACAAACTTAAAAAAAACACAAGTCTTAATGTGTATAGTTTGGTATTTTTTTATAAGTAGGAGTAAGAGGGTGGTAAGGATGGTGTGAGGGAGTGAGGGAGTGAGGATGGAGTGAGGAGTGGAGAAGGTAGTATGGAGAAGTACAGTTGATCTTGATAGGATTAAGGGCAGGTGTGAAAATTATCGAATGGGGTGGAATAGGGTGTTGATGGGTAGGATGGGAAGGGAGGTTAGTATAGGAGGGAAGGGGAGGCTAGGATGGGATGGTAGGCTGGAGGACAGGTCCGGGAGGGTTGTTTGGCCCACACTTGGTCATAATAATGGCCTCACCTGTCCAAGCTTAAAGGTGTTTTTTTTTTTGCATGTTCCTGTTGTCTCTCTTGTACCAGACGAGTAATGTAGGTGGGAGAGAGAGAGAGGTAGGTGAGGTGTGGTGTGTGGTTGGGTGTGGTGTGGTGTGTGGTTGGGTGTGGTGTGGTGTCTCCCAGGTAGCTACATATCATTACACACACACAGTTACCTCACCACCATTAGTTTCTCCTCTGGTTTACGTCTGAATAAACAACAATAAACATGTCTCGTGGGTGTTGAGGTTTAGTAGAGTAATTTTATCTTTTTATTATGGAATTTATTCTTTTTTTTCGTTTGTTTACGGTTCAGTTTACGTCTGTGTGTTTGTCGGTCTTGTTTGTGGGGGTTTGGATTTTTCTCAAGTTATTGGTGTTGTTTACTTGGGAGGTGACAGCCGTGCGACCTTCATCTGTCTTTGAGTGAACGTAGTATTTTTTTTTTCCAGTCTTTTATTCTATTTCAGGGTTTAATTCTCCCCATCAGGACGTCTGTGTGTTAGTCGGTCTCTTGTGTTGAACTCTTTATTCCCTCCCAGGCATTGGCTA